AGTTTTCAGCGGAGTGTACTCAAGAGAGGGTCATAGACAGTACAGGTCTGTAGAAGAACGTCAACAGAGGTACTTCTGATTTTAGGACTTTTCAGAAAATGACTCCTCAGTGTTAGAGTAGGATCAGCATTTGAAATTTTTATATATGATATCCAGGAAATAAAAAGGCATATATTCAAGAATAGGAATAAAGTGATCATGGTAGGTTCACGCTATGGACCTAAGGTACAAACATGAATGACAGGGATACCCCAGTTTCTCTCAGGACACAGATGATGATGACTTTCTGGAGAAAGAGGTGCTCATATATGACAGACACCATGAACGACATGCGTAAATCTGACTGCGCTGAGAAGCCCTGAGATATACCAGCCTTCCATTTTTGTTTCCTTATGTCGCTCCAGGACCAACGGTACCCACAATCCAAAATGAGGAGAATTAACAGGAGGCAATTAGTTCAGGATATTTTTGTTCTTCAGTTGTTATCACTGACCAATGTTCATTTTTCCCCCATGGATATATTTATTATCTGATAAAAAGGTAAGTGTGCACCATAGAAACTTTGGGAAAGGAGCCATTCAAAATGCATGACTCAGGCATGACCAATAACAACTGGTGTGTAGTTCCATCATTGTTAGTTAAGTCAACAGGGTGGGTCAACACACATCTTTCAGAGGTAGTCTTATTTTTTTCTTGTCCGATTTATCTTACTTTTATTCCTGTCTTCTCTTATTCTACAGCTTTTATTTATTTTCTCCTTTGACAATTTTGTTATGTATACAATATATTCTGGTGCATTCTGGTTACTCTTCCCCCACCATCTATCTCCCACTCATCCTAGTACACACACACACACACACACACACACACACACACACACACACACACACATTTTGTTTTACTTATCTGTCTATTTATTTATTTATTTATCTATTTTTGGTTTTTCGAGACAGGGTTTCTCTGTGTAACAGCCCTGGCTGTCCTGGAACTCACTCTGTAGCCCAGGCTGGCCTCGAACTCACAGAGATCCGCCTGCCTCTGCCTCCTGAGTGCTGGGATTAAAAGCATGCGCCACCACACTCAGCTCCTGTTTTACATATCTTTAATATCAAGTTTCCCTCTTGAAATCTTTCTTTTTTCTTCCTCCCCTCCTCCCTCCCTCCTTCCCTGTGTTCTTTCCTGCCTTTCTTTTTTTCCAGACAGGATCTCACACATCTGAGGCAGGCCTGGAGTTTTCAATGTGGTCAAGGATGACCTTGAACTTCTGATCTCCCCCTGCTTCTACCTCTGTGTGCTGGGATACCTGGTGTGTGCCGAAATGGCCAGTTTATGTGGTGCTGGGCATGGGATCCAAGGCTTACATGACAGGGCAAGCAGTCTAGGAGCTGAGCTACATCCCCAGCCCTAATTATAGATTTTAAAATCCGTTCATGTGGCTATCCATGGTGTGGATTCTTTTTTTTTTTTTTTTTTAATGGGGTTTTCTTTGTTCTTAAGCCCACATCATGAAATACCTGGGCATCCTCGCTAACAGGTGACTCGTAGTTTTTAATAACTTAAATTAATGTGTGTGATACATACAAAAGTAATATATAATATAGTGTATGTAACCATATAACAGAAGATAATAATTTTCCGTTTTCATCCAGGGAAGCATGACTCAGCTCCCTTGCGTGTGGGGTGGGGATGGGTGGGGCCCAAGGCTGGGGACAGGAGGAGGCTTTTTCAGGCAGTCCCAGGCATCCCAGAGTGGATTGCTGATCTCCTGGGAAGTGGTGTGCCATGCCCTACGCCTGCTTCTGTAATGCTTTGTTCTGAGACTCCCGGTTTCTTAACCCCAGCTTCTGCATCTCTTTGGTTTTGTGACTGAGGTTCCTTATTCTGCAATTCAGTGCATCTCAGAAGCAAATCTCACCCCAGGCAGGAATTTTCTAGCCACATCAACCAGTTGATTGATGAGACCTTAGGGGAAGTTGCTAATAGTTTCTAGACAGGGGCAGATTTTCAGGGTCTTTAAAGAAACTTCACTACAAGAACTTATTGGGTATGTGGGTTTTTTTTTAAGACCTTGTCTTCATAATTACATACCCTTTCTTACAGAGAGGCCCTCCCTACCAGCATTCCATAATACTCAGGGTTCCACATAACTGCTTCTACCTCTAGTTTTGAAATATATACCAATATTCCATAACAGGAGATGTGCAGTGAAAAGTCACGCCATTTCTTTCCTGCTTTGGGGTGTTTTGAGAGGCCATACAGCTCAGAACTGCAGCAACTATTTTGTGATCTTGAAAGAAAAGCAGAATTACACAGAGCTGGCTCAAGGACTTGACTTCATCGAGTTTCTGGATTAAGCAACCATGGAACTGATTGTCTCCAGACTCAGTTAAATGAGATGGCAAAATTGTTATTGAAGCCATTGTTCAAGTGGCCTGTGACCCAGACTCGGTGGCACGTGCCTTAGTCCAAATACCCAGGAGGCTGAGGCAAGAGGTTAGTGAATTTGAGTCCAGTCTGAGCTATAGAGTGAACTCCCATAGTAAAGCTATGTGGGAAACTTCGCAATACTTTGTTTCAAGAAGCCAAAAATAAAAACAGAAAGGCAAATGGCTCCTGGCTTACAACCTAACACCATTTTAACCAGTACGCTCAGGTCTCCCAGGACTGTTTATATCACTCAACAAGATAGACATCTTTTTCCTGAGTGGACTACAACAAGATATCATATTTCCTTTATGGGAAGAACCTCTGCCAAACTGGAGGGAATCTCCCTTCCCCCCATCAGGGCATTTCCCTTCCTAGCTGGAATGGTTTCATAGTGCCTGTCCACCCCTGTGGGGACCCAAGGCATGGCCCACTGGAACTGCGATGGTATCTCACTAGCTGTCCACCCCTCCATGGTGATCTCTGGCTTTGCCACCCCTACTTATTTCCAGCAAAGTACCCCAAATCACCCCATAGCCTGCCAGTCTCCCCATCCCCCGCACTGTAGCCTCTCAGCCCTTGAACTAGACATGAGGAAGCAAATGGCAGATGTCTCCAGGCATGCTAACACACTAGTGGCAGAGCACTGTGCATTAATCCTCACAACTTACCGACCTCCAGAGATTCAGAACGGTTCCCCCAGAATTTTATAAAATGCGAGATGTTTCAGAGCAAGAACAAACAAACAAACAAAAAGAAAGTTCTTTGCTGTGACTTGGGAGGTCTTTCTTGATGGACTGTTGTCAGTGGGTCTCTAACCAGGTTGCCTGTGTCCTCCACAGAGGGCCCTGAGAAACACGTGTGTTTGTATGCTACAGACTAGGAATATGAATATATGAATAAAACCGATTGTATTCTTATTATTATTCTATATTGCTTTGTGTGCGTGTGCATGTGCGTGCGTACGTACATGTGTGTGTGTGTGTGTGTGTGTGTGTGTGTGTGTGTGAGAGAGAGAGAGAGAGAGAGAGAGAG